AACCAGAAGAAATAAAACCTTAAAATAACATTGCTAGGAGAAGCATCAGCAACTTCAGATATGCTGAAAATATTCTGATAGTTGAAAATGAGAATTTCTTGCTAAAACAATAAGAGTGCAAAATCCAGTCTGCTGCTCAATGTTAAAAAAGACACAAGCAATGCCAGCCTAATATAAACAGCTTAAAAACTTGAAGTAAAAACAAACTTTTATCTTCCTAGGCTCAAATATTCACAAGGATGGTAAGTAAAGCCATGAAATAAAGAGACATCTTTATTTGATAGAAAAATGATGACAGATCTAGACAAGGTATTAAAATACAAATACATCATATAGATAATAAAGATATCGTCAAGAGCATTATGTTATTATTGTAACATATGGCTAAGAAAGTTGGAACAAGTTGGAGTGACGAAAACATTGATCCTTTGAATTATGGTGCTGAAGAGACTACTTTGGATTATAAGTAGAAGAAATAATTTAATACCAGATAAAATAAAACCAGACTTCACTGGAAATACAAGTAATGAAGTTATAGCTTCAATATTTTGGACACATAATGCAAAAGAAAAGACAAAAGTCCCTGGCAAAGGAATATTTGGAAAAATTAAGGCAATAATGATAGAGGTCAAGGTGTCTAGATACAACCATTGATGAAACAGGCAAAAGCTTAAAATAATGCAAAGAAGCAGAATGAACTGTCTTCAACTTGACCTTTTAGGTCTCTCAGTGGTACATTCATTGCACAACACAAGAGAAATAAAAAACCCAATGCGGTTGGATTCTTTATATTTCAGCATGTTGTAGGAGCCCATTATCATAATGTGACCAGCCATCATCACAATGAACTATATAATAAGCTATAATATAGTTTGTGAGATCAAATTTGGGTCAGTCACCGGAATACTAAACCTCTGGTCACAGTGACTGACCCAAATTCGATCTCACATCTTTATTTGCCTTCATTCATGTATAATATAGATTATTTGTTGGCTATCCCGTACCAGATAGCAACTCTGTTTTGACAACTAGGCTTAGGACTGTTTAATATGTTGTATGAATATAATCATATTCAGTGTGGAT